AAATTTAAATTTATGTGTTGTAATCTTCTATATATATAAAAATAAGTCGGGTTTTCCTTCCTGACGAAATAACTCCAGAACGCACGAACCGATTTCGACAATTTTGCATTCGTTGGAAATGTCTCCGGCTCCGCAAGGTTTATAGCTAAGAAAATTAGTTGTGCATGGCATCGTGCCTTAATGCAAGCTGCTGGAACTTCACGCACCGTAATTAAAAATTCGAGTAATAAAAATGATCAATAACTGTTTTAAATAATTTTAAATAGATTATCTTCTATATATATAAAAATAAGTCGGGTTTTCCTTCCTGACGAAATAACTCCAGAACGCACGAACCGATTTCGACAATTTTGCATTCGTGGGAAAGGTCTCGGGCTCCGCAAGGTTTATAGCTAAGAAAATTAGTTGTGCATAGCATCGTGCCTTAATGCAATCTGCTGGAACTGCACGCACCGTAATTAAAAATTCGAGTAATAAAAATAATCAATAACTGTTTTAAATAATTTCAAATAGATTATCTTCTATATATATATATAAATAAGTTGGGGTTTTCTTCCTGACAAAATAACTCCAGAACGCACGAACCGATTTCGACAATTTTGCATTCGTTGGAAATGTCTCGGGCTCCGTAAGGTTTATAGCTAAGAAAATTAGTTGTGCATGGCATTGTGCCTTAATGCAAGCTGCTGGAACTTCACGCACCGTAATTAAAAATTCGAGAAATAAAAATAATCAATAACTGTTTTAAATAATTTCAGAAAGATTATCTTCTACATATATAAAAATAAGTCGGGTTTTCCTTCCTGACGAAATAACTCCAGAACGCACGAACCGATTTCGACAATTTTGTATTCGTTGGAAAGGTCTCGGGCTCCGCAATGTTTATAGCTAAGAAAATTAGTTGTGCATGGCATCGTGCCTTAATGCAAGCTGCTGGAACTCCCGCACCGTAATTAAAAATTCGAGTAATAAAAATAATCAATAACTGTTTTAAATAATTTCAAATAGATTATCTTCTATATATATAAAAATAAGTCGGGTTTTCCTTCCTGACGATATAACTCCAGAACGCACAAAACGATTTCGTTTCGTTTATAGCTAAGAAAATTAGTTGAAAATTTGCGAATTAATTATGGATTCACTTTCATTTACTTAGAGAAGTTCAACTAAAAAATACTTCATTTTTGTAATCGAAATAAATTCATTACTGTTGTATAATAAAATTAAATTTTTCCCTTTCAAATTTAAAACAAACAAAAAATTTCTTCATCTTTCTCACGAAACCATCTGGTGGCGAAACGGAGTTCGTCGGGTTTGCTAGTTCTTTATAAAAATTTCGTTTGAAAAAACATATGGATGTAATTTGCCTTGCATAGAGCTTATAATAATTTCAACGATTTTTGATTGTGTTACTTGGTATTCATTTATAATATTTGTGAACAATATAAAGACACTATTCAGAGTTGTTATGATATTATTGGTTTTAACATCTTTTTCCAATTCATAAAATTTATTTGTGTTTTCTGTTAATTGTTTTGAAACATAATTCATATTTTCTGTACTGCTTTGAAAATAAGCTAATTGAGACTCAAAAATAGATGATTGTTGCTTTGCAAGTTCTAGAATATGATTTTGATTATTTTGTAAAGTTTTAATTTGAGCATCGTAATAAATAGCATCATCTTCATTTAAAGTACCAAAAAGTGTTTTAGATATAGAACCAATAATATTTACTAAAGCTCTTTTTGATATTCTGTTATCTATTCCTAGCATTTTCTGAATCAATTTATTTTGAATTTGAATGTTGTTACAATCTACTTCCATTTGTTTTAATATTGTATGGCATTCTAAAATTTTGGAGACATTGCAAAGTTCTTTTGTTTGATCGTAAATATTAATAATGTATTTAAATTGTGTTCTAAATTCTGATAAATCTACATACGTTAATAGTTTCCATTTAGAATTATATAAATTAATTGTTGTAACATGTTCGTAATAAAATCCCGAGTAGTTTGTCATTTGTTCTATTTCGTAGTCAGGTTCGAGTTGTCCATAGGCCAAAAATATTATACTGAGGATAATTATAATATTCATTCCTAAAATAGATAGAGATAGTTTAAAATTGGTTGTTTTTGTGAAATTAATTCACACGGGGTGGAAGAAAAAGGAAGTATAGTAAAACAATAAAAGGAAATATAGTTGTTCTATCCATGTGTAAGGGGGTTCGCATATTAAAAAAATATTCTCTGGTTTCATGGAATTAGAACGTCGGCACTCGAAAACTATCTTAGAGTGGCGACACAAATCAATTTGGTCAATGAGGGTTTTTGAAGTTCAATATATAATTCACTTTGTTTTTTTTTTCATAAAATATATAATTACGTATTATAATAAGGTTTGAATTCTTTAATTCACAATGTAAATATAACTTTAGGTATTCAAATAATTTTAAAAGTACCATATCATTAATAATATCATTAATATTAAATAATGATAACTTTGATTATTAATCTGTTTAATCATATGTTGAAAAATTGGTATGCTAAGACAAACAAAAATACTATTGGTTTGGTGTGAAGATTTTCAATTTATTATTATGTACTTGTACAGGTTTGTTATTAATAAGTATGGTACTATTTATATCATCTGTTTTTAATATTTTATAAGGACCTTTAAATAATGGCATTAATTTTTTGCATTTTCTGGGGTACGGTGTTTCATCTCTAAGTAATACTAGGTCATCTATTTTGAATAATTTTGGATTCGAATTTCTATCATAATATTCTTTAGATTTTTCTTTATTTTTTATAAGATTTTCACGTGCCTTAAAATTCGCCTGTTGTAATCTAGATTTCAGTTCGTTTGAATATATGTCATAATTGTACAGTATGTCGTTTTTCTTATTAATAAATAAAGGTAATTCAATTTTTCGTCCAAATAGTAGTTCAAAGGGTGTGTAATTTGTTGACTTATGAATAGTTGTATTATAAATAAAAATTGCATATTTAACACATTTATCCCAATTGGTTTGCGTACTATTGATATATGATCTAATATTTTGTATGAGATCCCTATGCATGCGTTCACAAGCGCCGTTAGATTCTGGTCTGTATGGTGATGTAGTAATTTTTTTGATTTTTATAAGTTTACAAACGTCTTTAAATAGATTACTAGAAAAGTTGTTCCTAAATCTGACAAAACTTCTTTGGGAATACCATATTTAAAGATATCTTCTGATACAAAAGCTTCTGCAACTGTAGCGCTTTCTTGATTTGGAATAGGTATTGCGCCCGCAAACTTGGTCAAATCATAAATAAAAGTTAAAAGGTATTTATTCTGATTATCTGAAATGGGATATGGTCCGCATAAATCTATACAAACTTTTTCGAAGGGTTCCTTAGCAGTAGTTGTGATTATCATGGGTTCTTTAATTTTCCGGGATACTTTATTTTTTTGAAATTCTACACATGTACTTATAAAATTTTTGATCTGTCTTCTCATTTTTGGCCACTTGTAAAAATTTCTAATTTTGTTATAAGTTTTTCTAGTGCCTAAATGACCACCATTAATTTCAAAAATATGTAAATCATGCAAAACTTTTTCTATTTCATCTTTTGTTAAATTTTCAATTATTTTATCTAAATAAATTTCGATTTTAATATTTGTATCTTTAAAAATATATCTTAGCATCATTCTAAAATCTTCGTAAGAAAGGTGACAAAAATTTGGAAACTGAATTGGATTAGGAATTGCCAAATAATTTATGTTTTTTTTCTAACAAATATTTTTTTAAATTACATAAACAATAAAAAAAATCAGCTAGTTTTGGCTGTGAAATTTCGTCATTAACAATAGAATATATTATGTGGTTAGATGAAGATTGAATGTCTATAAAGTTTTGTTTATCTGCATCATTAATTTTTTCTAAAATGTTTTTATGTTCGAAAAAATCAAATAGACTTTGTACTTTTTCAGATACTTTTGAAGTCTTTGATACAAATATTAAAATATTTTGATTTTTAGTTATTGAAGTAATGAAATTGTTATTATTCTCTACTATGTTCATATTAAAAATATTTTTTTTTATTTACGGTATCTAAAAATGTCTGATAATCATCGCTTGGTGTAGTGGCTAAAAATGTAAACTTTGTATTTTCTTGTATTTCTTTAGTACTTTCATGAATATTTTGCGTATTTTCCTGAATATTTTTATTATCATTCTGCAATTCGAAAAATGATCTAGATAAACTGTCTGCATTTGTATTTGTTTTTCCCGTTTTATAAATAATTTCAAGTTCAAACTCTTCTAGTAGGTATATAATTTGAAAGGTTTTCCGTATAAGTAAGGCCTGAAATGATTAACACTCCAAACTATTGCTAAAAATTTTTTATCTATTGTCATCTATCTATTTTTTATCAATGTTCTAGATGCGTATGAAATTGGAAGATCAGAACCGTTTACATTCTGAGATAAAACTGCTCCTATAGCTACGCCACTGGCGTCTGTTGTTACTGAAAAATCTCTATTAAAATTCGGGTATTGTAAAATTGGAGGATTTATTAATTTTTCTTTTAATGTATTAAATGAAATTTCACATTGTTCGGACCAAATGAATACTGAATTTTTCTTTAATAATTTTGTTAACGAATTCGCTATTTTTGAATAATCTTTTATAAATTTCCTATAATAACCTGATAATCCTAAAAATATTTTAATTTCTTTGGGGTTTGATGGCGTTTTAAATTCACTAACTGCTCTAATTTTTTCAGGGTCTGGTAATACGCCGTCTGCGCTTATAACATGACCTAAATATGAAATTTCGTGCATTAAAAACTGACATTTATCTGGCTGCAATTTTAAATTGTGTTCTCTTAATTTTTTAAATACTTCTACTAGATTATCATTGTGTTCTATTAATGTTTTTCCGTAAACGATTATGTCATCCATATAAACTAGTGTTCTTATACCTTGTAGACCTGATAAAACTGAATTTGTTAATCTTTGTAAAGTCGCTGGACCACCTTTTAAACCGAATGGTAATCGATTGTATTAGAAATGACCTAAATCTGTTGAAAATGCAGTTTTTTCTCTATCTTCTTTATTTAAAAGTACTTGATGAAAACCCTGTGCTAAATCTAACGTTGTAAAAAATCTTGAATTACCTAATTGATCAATTATATCTGTAATATTTGGTAAAGAAAATGCGTCTGACTTAGTTACTGAGTTTAATTTTCGGAAATCTACACAAATTCTCCATTTTTTATTACCTTGACTATCTGGTTTCTTAGGAACTACAATAAGAGGAAAATCCCAAGGACTTTGTGATTTTTTAATAATATCATTATCTAACATTTGACTAAATTGATTTTTAATTTCTTGTTTGTGAACGTGAGGTAATCTATATGGTTTAATATAAATTGGTTTGACGTCTTTCTCTACGGGTATGCTATGTGTTAAAGTTTCGGTATGTGTTAACTTATCATTTTCCAAAAAAAATAAATCATTAAAGTTTCGACAGATACCTAAAATTTGTTCTTTCTCTAAATGAGTCATGTGTTCAGTTCTAATCAAATTTAAAACATTTTGAATTCTTTCGTTCTTATTTACAATTGGTTGAAAATTATTTGTATTATTAGAAGATTGTGTAAATAAACATGTTAAATCAACATCTGAATTACTATCGGGATTTTGTGTTTTCCTTTCTAAAATTTCATAATTATCTAAATTTTCAAAGATTATGTCACTTTCACTTAAAATTTGTTCTGATTGTGTTGATTTAATAACATTTATATGCACAAAATTTTGATTCGGTTCGACTATGCAATTTCCAATAATTAAACCTGAACTTAAACATTTTGATAAACATACTTTTGGTTCGCTAAAATTAATTTTTACTTGTAAAATTTTTTCAACTCTAGGTGATATGACATAATCTTTTGAATTAAATAATTTTGCACAAATACTTTCATTTTCAAAATTTAACATGACTGTTTTGGATTCTATATCAATATTCGCTTTAAATTTGGTTAAAAAATCTTTCCCTATAATGCCTATTTCCCTAGTTGGTAGGTCTCTTACAACTTGGAATGGAAATTCGGTTTCTTGCCCATTAAAATTTAGTCCTAAAAATACCCAATTTTTTATAAAGTTTTAATTCAATCTCGTGTAAATGGTCGAATCCAAATCTAACTAAATTTGTGAAATGGTCTATAGTCTAAATTTTTTAAATCTACAAAATGTCTACCTGCAAATGCAACTAAAAATTTGCGATTAATATCGATCGTTGTTTAAATTGGCGATCGTTTAAATTTTTTTTGTCGTGAGAGTAATGCTCGACCTCAGGCGTGCAGAGATACATCCATACGGCGTATAAACAGTTACGTCAAGTGCGTCAAAAGTCGAGTTCTAACCCCACTTTTTGAGGATTTGTTGATGACAGATGCTTAAGTGCGGAATTTGTAAATGTTATTATCAATTAAAATAGAGCGTATTAAATAATATTTTATTTGTAATAAACAATTTGGTTCGGTTTTTAATGAATACATGAGTGTGGAATCTTCGAAGAAATTTATAGAATGTTGCATGAAATGAAAAAGTGAAATGGTAAGTAAGTATCAGTTTTAGAATTTATACATGAACTAAATTATTCAATATTTTTATTGTAAAATCAATTACAGATGGAAGAAATGATTCCATTGAAATTGCTTCTGAGAACTGTAACTTGAAAATTTAATTTCTCTTCAGATGGAAACGTTCTTAGTTTTGAGGTTAGTTTGAGGTTGAAAATGTAATTCTCAAATTGTACGATATGTCTTAATTAATTTATCATTATATTTTCAGATATGAAGAAAACAGATCAAACTATCAAATTAAAATGAAAAATTTTCAGAAATTCATTAAATACATTAAAGGCAGGAATGTATCACAAGTAGAAAATTTATTCAGAATTTACTGAGTGATCGAAGGCCCTAGATGGAAAATGAGGTTTCAACGAATAATTGGTATAATAAATGAATTTTCTTCACTCGAATATAGTGAAATGGCAATAGTTTTTCTAGTGTTGTACTATATTTAATTTTATTTCATTTTAGGTGTTTGAGGTTTTGAATTCAAAAGTTTAGATGGAAATTTTTGATAAATACAATATGACATGATTGAAAATCTCACGAATGCATTCTTTATAGAAAGTAAGAATGCGAAAATAACTTTTAATTCATTTCATTGAAGAAAACAACTTCAAATTTGACAATAAAAAAGTTAATTATTAAAAGAGTAATGCATATGCAATTTTGAGTAATGCATTTTTTTTGGATGGTGATGGTGTTTACCCTACACATGAAATGATATCCGAGCTATCATGTAGAGGATGACAAAATTAAGATGGAAATTGATAATCGTATATTAGATTTTGGATGCTTTGGCACAGATCTTAACTCCATGCTTTTCAAATGATTAAAATATTTGAATAGAAGCACAAGACCTGAAGCATAGAAGCAGAAATTTGCAAGGAAAATTCATTTAAAAGTGAATAAAAAATGATTAGTGTTGATTTTATAAAACTGTAATGAAAATAATAAACAGAGGAGCAAAAAGAAAATCATTGATTTGTTGTGCTCTCATACGATGGACCTGTTTTCGGCCAAACTACTATGAATTATCATTATATTGAATGAAATAATGGGTACAGTAACAAATAATAAAACTTTAACATTGATGAAATTTGTGCACGCTATACAAAAAAAGGCCAGATTAACTATTTTAAAGACATTTAGATATTCTTTTCTGTGATTTTTGTTATTAATTATATTTCATGTTAAATTTGATCAATTATTAATTACATATAATTAATATTATCACTAACTTAATTTCAAAAATAATTTATCAAATTATTGTAACATAAATAGTAACGATATTGTAATTTTTGTTAAAATGTGATTTTGAATTGTAATATATCAATACATATAATCTTATTATTTTAGAATGGCTATTTATTTAAATAAATATAGTCTTTGTGGTACTACAAAGCGTAGATTTGTAATTATTAATATTAAACATTCTTCAAATAAGCATATGTTAACACCCCACGACGTTCGCGTTCTCATGATAACACACCCGTCGGGGGCGGTTTCATAGTACCACACCCGACCGGTGTGTTGTGTTAGTAAAAACACGCCAAAAGGTAGATCAAAAGTGACTACATACAAATATCACCCCTTTTCGTGTTATTGTACGCGACATACGTTTGCAGTGATAGTGGATAATTGAATAATATCAAAAGTTCTTGAATTATTTAAGAGAAAACTATTTGGAACTTGAGTTTTTATTTCGTTAATGCCCTTGTCGAAACGGGCCCCAATCCGTTTTTTGAAGTTGTTGTCTGAGGTTGTGGTTCTTGGTTGTTCGTTTCTTGAATTTGTTCATTTGTGCTATCTGTCTGACAGTAATATGCCTGTCTGTTTTCATTTGTAGGAATAAAAGATTTTGGTGGATTATAACTATTATTTCTTGGATAAAAACTTTTTCGGCTTGGATTTCTACATTCTTGAATTAAATGCCCCGGTTTTTTACAGTAGCTACAAAATTTATTATTATTATTAGTACCATTATTTGTGTTCGTTGAATATTTATTATTATTTTGATTTAAAAAGCATTGTGGAGCTATATGACCGCGTTTTTTACAAATAAAGCAGATAACATTATTGGAATTAGGATTTCTAAAACGAAATTGATTGTTAGTAAATTTTGTCGCGTTTCTAATGTTTTCTTCTTCTATGGCGAAATTAATTGCTTCAGTGATACTAGTGAATCTACAACATTTTACTAGAGTTCTTATGGGTTCTCTAAGGCCGTTTTCAAAAGCTTTTATGCCTACTTCAGTGTATGTTGTTTGCGTTCTGTCAGCTGAGTCTTGTCCTAGTAAGTTTATGTTTGAGTAATAAAGGGTATGGGCGCATTGCCATACAGAATCGGCCCCACCCTGGTATTTAAATAATTTATACGCCATTTTATAGGTCTAAATGATAAAAACAAATATACCAATTTTCAACTTTGTACCTCATCTTATGGCCAAGATATCATTGAAATTATGCCAAAGTGGCCCCTTCTTTCAAACTCACTTTTTCGCGTAACCGTAAAAGATATCGAAAATATGTTTAAGGGATTCTATTCACATTTTGGCTTAGACTACATTATGTAGAACAATCCATGCACAAACAATCAATTGTTTATTATTAGCTGAAAAAGACAAAATAATTTTTCAATTTGTGTTTTCGTGCAAGTTACAGTATTTATAATAATATATTTGAAAGCATTCAATAATTTTCGAATATTTTCGAATTATTTCATTACAACACCGAAAGTTCCAGCAATTTGCTTTAAGGCACGATACACCACTAGTTTAAGGCATTTAATTAATATAGTATTAATTTAATTAATAATAATGCCTAAAAATTTCAAACTTCGTGAGTTTATACATATAACTATAAAATAAATATTTTCGCATTCAGAATTTCTGAAGAATCGTTTCGGGGGCATCGCGCACTGCTTTGCGTCCGCACGAACTCTGTGCAATTGCAGGTTACTATTAGCGTTATGCGCGGGTGTACTGGCTCCGGTTTTTTCAATTTTCCAATGTGTTCCACCAAATTGATTTGAACAATATTTGCAGTACTTAAAGAAGAAACATTAGGCTTTCGAATAACGCTAATTAGAAAGTGGTCCAACTAAACGCACTGCACGAAAACACAAATTGAAAAATTATTTTGTCTTTTTCAGCTAATAATAAATAATTTTTGGCATCGATTGTTCTACATAATGTAGTCTAAGCCAATGTGAATAGAATCCCGTAAACATATTTTCGATATCTTTTACGGTTACGCGAAAAAGTGAGTTTGAAAGAAGGGGCCACTTTGGCATATTTTCAATGATATCTTGGCCATAAGATGAGGTACAAAGTTGAAAATCGGTATATTTGTTTTTATCATTTAGACCTATAAAATGGCGTATAAATTAT